GAACTTTAATTGAACCTTGGACTTTTGACATGGACTTTTGACAGAGACATCTTGTGGTTAGGCACTGGCTTCCTGTTCTAGAAGTATAGGGGCTCTAAGAGGCTGTCCAGCCTGACCCAGTAGGTTTCACACTTAATGTCCAAATCTCACTTTACGTCTGCTTTATTCTAGCTGTAGTCAGAAAATGTATTATCATGTATTTAATTTTCTTTTTATATTTCCCCTCTGCTTTTGCTTTCACGTCTCAAAAGGGAGTTGTCCAGTGCAGTAGTCTCCAACCGTGGCAACTTTAAAACTTGTGTACTTCAACTCCCAGGATTCTTAAAGTTGCCATGGTTGGAGACCACTGGTCTAGTGCATGTAAGAGAGGTGGACTAAGTCAGGTTTGATCAGGAGGAGACACAGGATGCCTTTCTCTGCATTGCCACGGTGCCTACGCCCCCTAATTTAATTCCATTTCCCCCAGGATCTGTCCTGTGTTATTCCTTCTGTTTTGGGGTCGGGAGGGAGAAAGAGGGAGTCAGATGGTTTTCTTGCCATACCTTTCATCGGCTTCTCACAGATAAATGAGGTCTTGGCCTCGCAGTCCCAGTCCCTCCACTGTGCAGCGTAGATGCCCGCAAGCTGGGTGCAGTGCTTCTGCCCGGGGTGGCCCTGGAGCCAGTGGCTGGAGAAATGGAAAAACCCAACACCGGAGGTGATTTAAATAGGGCTCCGTGGAAAAATGACGTTGCTGGATGTTCCGTGACCTGGAGGCCACCTTGGAAGGTCTTCTCCAGTCAGGAGGCGATGGGAGAGGAAAGGCTGACGAGGCCACCTCTGCAGGCTTTGATTTAATAAATTTGATTTGATTTAATAAATTTATAGTCTGCCCAATCCCGAAGGACTTGTCTACATTGGCTGAACCCTCCCTTCTCTTGGGAGGCCCACCAACCGAACACCAAACTAATTCTTTCCTCACCTGTACCAACTCTGTGATATTGGTGTGTCGTCCACCCAGGTGAGTTGAGCCTCTCGCCAGGCCAGTCCAATCCAGAAGTATGACGCGTGGCCCCTGGCACCTTCGGTAAGGTCCCTCAGGAACATCTGTGCAGGTTTCAAAAGCAAAGTCTTAGACCACAGCAGCCTTTTCTCTGCCCCTACAGAGCGTGGGCAGGCTAAAGCTTATCTATGGCCGATGCAGCAACGGAGCTGTCTTCATGGCAGGTGGATCCAATCCAACCACCTGCATGGGCACTCCCCCCCCCCTCACTCCTAATTCCCCAAGAGTGTGTGGGTTGCAAAGGCCGCCTCTTACTTGCTTGTTATAATCCTTGATGACCACTAAATCTGCCTTTTGGTCCTGACAGAAGACTCGGGCCTCCTTCCAGGAGAGAGCAGGGGCAGCCGGGAGATAGAGGCAGAATTCATCTCTGTATGGGATCCACTTTGAGGGGCACCACCCCAGCCCTGCATGCAGAAGCAGTAAAGGGGCACCTTGGATCAGAATTTTGGTTGCCAACAGGAAAGGTCCCGCGGTGTTTAGTCCCAACAGCTCCTGAGTTTCAAGCCAAGGTTCAACCTTCCCAAGAACGGCCACTTATCACAGGGAGGATGGATCACACAGGTGATCTGTTCTTTTAACTACAGCTTTCACCCGTGGAATCGATTCTGCGGGCAACCTTCTAGCAGGTTCTCTGTCCTCACCCACACAGCCAGACTCCCATGGCCTGTTAGAATCCACAGGCTAAAATCTTTGAATCCCAGTAATAAAATGGGACCAGGCAGACCCCAGAGCGGAAGAAACGAGAGGGCATTAAAAGGAAATATTTCAGAAGGAGGACTTGGGAGAGCGTGATAACTGCTCAGACCAGCCCTTCTTCCTGACCACGGGGATGGCAAGGGAGATCTCCGTCCGGACAGATAAAAGGTTAAAAGAAGCATCCTCTCACCAGAACCTATGAAGAGCAATGCCAACGGCCCCCAGGCTACCTTCCGCTGCGATTCTCCTCCTCCCATCTCGATGGGCCCTAAAATCAGAGGGAAACCACCGTTTTTCTTCCTCGGCCTCTGGGATGGTGGGAACCCCTTTAAGTGGAGACATTTCCACCATCAACCAAGCCAAGCTGGGCTCTCTCACTTGAGCAATTATTCGGGAACGCAGTCCGTCTGGAACCCCTGTCAGTAAAAGGAGAACCGGCGGTTGAATAGGACTGGAAACCCCCCACCCTGCAACATGGGACATGGGGTCCTGCCAGGGAGGGCATCCCTGGGCATCCTCCTCCATCCTCCCCAGGGGCCGGGCAGCCGGAGTGACCCCTCTCCTCCCTCTCTCCGTGGTGGGGCCAAGGCCTCTCGGGGGCCCTCAGGGGCCCACCTGGCCCTGCTAACTTGAGGCAGGCTTCTCCGGCTGCCACTAGGCCTCAACAGGCCTCACCCAGGCAGGGACCGGAGCAAGAAGAGGGAGGGAAAGGGCGGGGGAGGGAAGGGGGGAATAAAAGACCTGGAAATCCGGACGCAGCCTCCAAAAACCTCCCCAGGAGCCTCCGGGGCCTCCGAGGGCCACAAAGGACGGAAGCCTCTTGCGACAGGCAGACATACCTACCTGCCTGGATGCTTCCAGCCTACTGGGCTTCCTTCTTCTCACCTGGCCCAGGCACCCAGGGCTCCCCCTGAGCCTCCCCAGGCCCACCGTCGGCCCTGGAAGGGAGGTGAGACCCAGAAATGGCCCCCGCTTTCCAGAGGGCTTTTTCTGAAGAGGTTCCCCCACTGTCTTCCCCTAGATTTGGGGCTACCTACTATCCCTCTGTGCCTCCAAGTTTAAGCTTTCCTGTCTGCCTTTTAAAAACAGACTCATGAGTAAGAATTTGCCTGATATATATATGTATGTTTGTGTGTGTGTGTGTGTGTGTATGTNAAAGCATGCCATCCCAACAGTAAATCATGACCTTCTACATTCAATAATCTAGAGTTTTTTTAGTGTTATCCACTCCTTAATCCACATCAAGTTTGCGACTGACTTGATGAAATGGGAAAATTTACAACTATCAATGATGGGAAGAATTTCTACCATCAAAATGAATATCCTACCTAGAATTTTATACCTGTTCCAGACAATCCCAATCAGACTGGGTAAGGACTTTTTTTTCAAGATCTAAAAGAAATGGGGCGGGAGAAGGAAAGGCCGAGGGAGAAAAAAACGCTGCTGTGGGCCAGACCCAAAGCAAGCCCTCTCTTGCCTGGCTTCCTCCTGAACAAACAGCCAGCAGTGGGGCAGGGACCCGCCTGGCAACATTCCTCAGCCCTTCATAGAAGGGGGGGGTGGCTGTTTAATTTCAATGGGCTCAGTGGAGGGAGGCATAGCACCCATGAGACCGTGGGGGTGGGGGTGGAGAGGGTGGAAAGTGGGGAGAAAGAGGGAGAGAGCCAGCTCTTCTCCTGGGGTGGGGAGCATTTAGCTGGTAAATGCCTGCCTGCCTTCTGCTACTTGCTAGTGCGCTGACCAATGTGTGCCTCTGTCTGAACCCTTCGCTCCCACTTAGCTGGTCATAAGCAGGAAGAGAGGAAGCCCAGAGTCCCCCCCCCGGAAACCTCCACCTGCTACCACCCCGATTCCTTTCCCGTGACTGGGTGAAATTAACCGGAGGGCGAAGGGTTTTGAAGACCAAGTACTTCAAAACAACTAATTTACAGAATCTCTCCGAAATCCAGGACTCGTGACTCCAGAGTAGAATTGAAATTTGGCAAATTTTATAACACTTTTTTTGCGACGTTAAGATTATCATCATACAAAATGCCATAAAGTATTTCCTGTGCTGACGCTTGGCTACGTCGTAAGAGTTCCACATGGGCCCATTTTCAAGGCAGGAATGCCTCCGGATGCCTCCCACGGAAGAAGGCCAGACAAGAGATGCTCCGCCACTATCGGAGGAACCGGAAAACCTCCCAACGGATGAGCCAGCGGTTGGTGGGTCGCCCAGTGCAGAACCCGAAAGCAGCGCCATTCCTCTTACTGTGCACTAATGCGCTGGATTTTGCTTCTCCTCCTCCTCCGTTCAGAGCTGGGCTCTGCTTTCCAGGCCCCCAGAAGTCAGCTCCCCCATTCCAGCTTTGGAGATGCAGCCCCAAAGCCCCCAACTGCTCCCCAACTGCCTGCTCCGGCAGAGGCCTCCGTTGGCAGTGAATCCGAAAGAGAGGCCCAGCGGAGCAGTCACAGCAAGGCAGAGAACGAGGCAGGGTGCCCCAGGCAGGAAGGCTGGCGGGGCAAGGGAGACGTGGAATCTCGCCCTGTTGGGGCTGTGCCAAGGAACGCCCGCAGGTGACCTTCCGAGTGCCTGTCCTTGGGAGGCTCACAACGCAGGTCCCAAGCCAGGCTGCCTTGGGCGAAGATAAGGAAAATGGGCAAAGGAGGAGCAGGGGGGCGAGGGGAGCAGGGGTGCCCCTCCGTGAACACCAGGAAGACATGCTGGCTGGGCAAGGACAGGTTTTATGACCCCGGTTATTGACAGAGTACTTTCACTGTCCCTCCCTTTCTTTAAAGGACAGAGGCCAAGGGCCGCACCCTGAGCAAGCAAGGTTGGCCTTCCACACTGGCAGCCACGCACACGCCTGCCCAAGTCTAGTGCCCTCTCCACCTCCATTGGTCTTCTACCCACTTCCTCCCAGGGAAAAGGCAGGGGGTGAGGCCAGGTGCCCAAGGGAAGGGAAGGGAAGGCACCGAAGGCTCTGGCTGGTCCTCTCGGGTAGAGAGCAAATCCGGCTCCCACCTCCAGATCGGGGTTTGTGCCACGTCTGTTCTTCATCTGCCAGGGGAACCTTTTCCCTGTTCTTCATCGAAGGCTGGCCCAGGCCGCCCTCCCCTGCTACCCATGTTGCCTCAAGGGAAACGGGAGAAAGAGAAGTCGACTGTTCCTTGAGGCCTCCCAGGCATCAGGGCGCAACCAGTCTGGCAAAGGGAGGGCGGTGCCCAGGTGTGGGGCAGGTGAGCGCAGCAGTCACATCCAGCCTCAACTGCTCTTCGATTAGGAGATGCGGCAGCAGCACTTCCTGCAGCAAGGCAAGCAGCCGCAGCAGCCGCAGCAGCAGCTGGGATCCGGGGCAGCCTCTTCGTGGCTCTTCCAGTAGAAGGGCTCCGGAGCATCCGCCTTGGGCACCCTGAGGCTGGCGTAGGGGTTGGTGGGTCTGGCTTGCGACTCTGCCCACACTTGGCCGTTCCAAGCCAGAGAGGGGGGCTTGAGGTCTGCCTCTTTCCGTGGGGCTGCCGAGCAGGGGGGCAAGGCGCTGGGACCCACGTCCTCCCCCAGGTAGTATCCCAGGAAGTCGTCCTTCAGTTGAGTCCGCGGAAGGGTGACGCTGGCGTAGGGGTTTTCGATGGTGAACCCCCGGTCCATGGCTCTGCCTGCTGACGCTCCCAGTGGCTGCGGCGGCACCTATGGGAGGGCCCTGGGCCTGCCCAGCTGCTGCTTCTCTTGTCCCGTCACCAATGAAAAGGAGCAGCGCTTGAAGACAAAAAGGAGGTTTTATTATCAGCAATTTCCCCATGTTGAAAAGCGAGAAAGGAGGCGTTAAAAAGAATCAAATGGAAACTGACTTTGGGGAAATTATGGCGGAAGTCAGGGACCAGCCATCTTCTGGCAGAGGGGCAGGGGGAGACTGGCGGCCCACAGAAAGGGGCATTGTGGGTGGGGATGGGGGGAGGCTGCAGGCCACTTCAGCTGACTGCTATCTGCAGTTTAGCGGTTCAAATCTCACCAGCTCAAGGTTGACTCAGCCTTCCATCCTTTCGAGGTGGGTGAAATGAGG